AAGAATCTGTAGCTTATCCCTGTCACCAGTTGCCCATCCATTAGCCAAACTGACCAGGGGCCCCAGACACCCTCTGCTTCCTGCTCAGAAAGTGATGCTTCAGAGCTGCTTCCTGCTGCAAGCAACAGGGAATCCACAGACTTCAGCCACATAAACAACAAAGGCATTTGTCCCTTCTCCACAGAGCCCTTGGCCCGCAGAGTTTGGTGGGAAAACAACTAGGTAGGGTAAAAAAAGGAACAGCTCCTTGAATGAAGAGTGTGTAGGGCCCTGTTGTCCTGGCAGGAATAATTATGCAGAGTTTTAGGACAAAATAGGGATAAGTAAATAAACAACTATATAAAATGAGTTTTTCAAAGGTGCATCCCTAAAATCCCACATGCCTGGAACCATAATCACATGCCTAGGAGTGAAGAGACATATCCAAGGTACTTTAGACTACTCTGGGGCTTGACAGCAATGAACCTGCTCCTCCAATTTTGTTACCATCAGCATCCAGCCAAGTTAGAATAGAGCTGCTTTGGGGATGTCCAAGCACACCAAACTCCCACCTCTTGTTTATAGACAGACAAAGCCAAACACAAAGCACATATCCCTAGATTCCAGCACAGGTACCAATGTTTTTGGCATATCCTGAAGATAGAAACATTCACACCTCTACATTTAGGCAACGCTGTCTGAAACTTAGTGGATTTATGCCATCTCATTCCTACTCCCACATCTGTTCTCACCTGAGACAATTTATTATTTCATTTCTAGCTGGAAGGTTAGATTTTGTCCTTTGCAAAGCCCCTTGCAAACCAACATGTTTTGGGAGGGTCTACACACAAAGTGTATGTTGTGGTAAATGTATTTCTGATCTTGCATGCCATTTACATGAATGCCATCTCATTTTCTTGAAGCAGCATCTTGTACATACTTCGTGTCTGCCTATCAAAGTTTATTGGTGTGCTGGGGATGCATGCCTGGTGACAGCTGGCTGGGGCCAAGGCTGCAGGCTGCTGCAGCGATGCAGTCTGCAGTCTAGACAGAGCTGAAGGGAGCATCCACTCCTGCATGAGATGCTGAGGTGCAGCAGCCGCGGCTGTGGCACAGCGGTGTGCCCGGGAGGCGGCACAGCTGCTGGCTGCCGCATTCCAGATGTGCTCTGCACGGGACGCTGAGCCCCGGTAAACTTGTTGAGCTACAGGAGCAGGAAAGCACATAATCGGTGTTGCCAGGGCCAGCCCTTATCTCCCCCAGGTTGTTATTTGAATAATTAAGCAAACAAAGGCCCGCTTGGCTGCTGCTGCTCTGGCCTCTGCTCCGACTCCTCGGCTGGGCTGCCCGGGACGCCCTGACAGAGCCAGAGAACCTGGGGGAGTCGTGACAGGTTGGGAGGAGACGGGAGGGGGCTTGTCCGGTTCCTCTGGTGCTTCTTTGTGTCCTGTTTTTAATGAGCTTTGGCGGTCGGAGGAGCAGATGCACAAACAAAGGCTCGTCGGCCCTGCTTGGCCAAGGCAAGGCTTGGTGCCCCCTCCCATGGCTCAGACCATTCCCGGGGTCTGCTCATGGACACGGAGCTTCTCCTGCGTGCAGCAGAAAGAGGCTGATGAGCCCAGACACTGGAACACACTGATTTCAGAATGGGGCTCTGGGAGATGCTCTGTGAGCTGGGAGTCAATCTGATGAAGCACGGAGTGATGCATTTGATTGCATTCTGTCTGTCAGCCACCAGCTCTCCCACAGCTCCCCAGGTCTGGTCTCATGCTGAGCTGAGATCTGCTCAGTGTAGCAGGACAGCTGAAGATTCATGGAGCTGCTTCTAGCCCCACATTTCTTTGCTGCCATTGTCTGGCCAAGGCAGAGGCACTTTTTTGAAGTAAGACAAATTAAAAAAGTCTTGATGGGTTTTTTTCCTGTTGAGGCAGGTGAGAATGCTGAGACAGAGAGTAGAGTATCTTTAGAAAACATTGCAGGCTGGATTTGGATCCCAGGAAGTTCTCTACATTCACACTGTCTCTGGAGAGGGAGGAAATCCCATCCTGTACTCACTGAGCTACATTAATCTGTTCAGTTTTTCTCACTAGATCCCTGTGCTTCAGCACTGATAGTCTCTGGTGCAATCTGGACTATACTAGATACTCCACAAGTCTGAAGGATGACACAAAGGCTGTGCAGAGATCACAGCCTAAATGGCTGGATGAGGAAGCTGCCATCCCTTAAACCACTGGGATTTTGATTTTGTAACCAGACATCTGTGTCCCATAGCTATCACAGCAACAATATATTTACATGAATCTTTCACTTGGATTTTAGGTGACTGTCTTTATCTTGTGCTCTGGTTGATTTTTCTCTCAGAGGTTCCCCATGGCATCTTCCAGTGAAAATCCACTTGTAAAAGCCTCACTGAAGTTCAAAATAGAAAAATCAGTTTAGCAAAATACATATGACATCATACACCATGTATTGGTAAAGATACCTCACATCTTTTCCAATTCTCACTTTCCTCAAACATCTACCATTTTCAATGATACTTGGCTCTAGTTTTCATTTGATCTTCCTAGAGGATTAGTCTCACCAACACTATGTAAGTAATTTGAATCAGATGAAAATCCTGCATCTGTTGACTGACTCTTCAGAATAAAGTTACTTTTGTGTTTAAATGTTTACAGGGTTAGGGCCCCATTCAAAGAAGTTGCCTTCTTGTTCTAATTGGCACCACAAATGTCCCTGGTACTGCAGGGATGGCAATTCATGCACTGAAGCAGCAGTTCCTGCAGAATTATTCTAGTTACCAAGATTATACTGACAGCCAAGCAAAGTGCTGAAGGATTGTGTCCCATTTAGGGAGCATAGTGTTAAAACTGGGATCTCACTGGGATCACTCAGGGAGATAAAAACAATTTGTGCTTTTGAAAGGCAGAGTTCTCTGTGGATGAGCTACAGTCACAACGTGCAAGCTCCTTGCTGCCAGCGGCTCAGTTCGATGCGTGCACTCACCAGGTTTGTGTGTTTGAGGGGTCAGCCCCTCTCTCTCCTTCCCTTCTTCAGCATGCTGCAGGGCAGGAGGAGGCAGGGGACATGGCAAATGCCAAAGGGCCTGGAGAGGGCTAGCATTCATCTATCTTGGCTTAGATGTGCTCAGGGCAAACAGTAGGTATTTGTTTCCATAAAGCTCAGGCACCACAATAATTTTCAACAATGAATGCAGCTCCCCCTTCCAAACCACTCACTTAATAGCAATGACTGTGCATGAAAACAGAGCCCAAGTGGTATTGCAGCAAGCTGTAGCTGCACATCATCTGACTAAATTTTAGAAAAGTAACATATTAAAATCAATATAGGGGCATGCTTTCTACAGCTGCCCCATTTTGGAAGCTCTTGTAGGAATGCAGAAAGCATTAAAGCGAGCTGCCAGTGACTCTACTGTTTTCCATGGATCCTGTAACAATTTCATGTGAATAGTTTTTAACTTACCCCTATAATTTAATTTTCTTTGTTGACTGCCTAAACTGCTTTTGAGGCAAACACTTCTTGCAGGTCATCCAACCCTCATCAAATTTTTTTTTCTTTGTATTCAAACCCAACAAAACCAGCATCACCACAAATAAAGATACTAAAACTGGCTTTTTTTTTAGCAGCAGGTACCTTTGGTTTTGACTAAGTATCTGTCACTAGCACACTAGCACTTACATGCAGCCTAGTTTCAGCAAGGTCAGTAGTTAACTCACAGCCAGAGTTCCCCAAATCACTCAGCAATACCAATGACCTGACCCACCAGTATGATGGAGATGGGGGTATTAATGAAGGCTGCCAATATTCTGGTTTAAGAACTCATAAGAATAGCAAGTGCAGTTTTTATTTGCATGGTGTTGACTTGCTGCCACTTGAATCACATGAGTCTTATTTGACTTTTCATGGATTCTGTTTGATCTCTAGGAAAACTTTGGCTTCTCCCATTCCCTGTATCTTTCTGTGAGCAACAGGGGTGTAATTTCAAAGGAAATTATACTCTTTCCCTAGTACAGTAAAACAGCTGGAATTGCATTGCATGCAAAATAAAATCACTGCTTCATTAACTTAGTCATTTGTGGACAAGCTCCCATGCAATTTGCAGGGAAAGAGGAAAAGGTGGCATGTAAAGGTACACATATGTATATGCATGCATAGTTATGTACCCAGCTGTGTATTTCTATCTACCTGATTATCTACCTGTTTATCTTTATACATCTCTTTACTGATCTATCTAGCCCATAGGATTTATATTGTGTGTATGGATAACACATTAATGACCATTAATGACCACCACTAATGATGTGTGTTTATTTTTCCCAACGGAATACCTCACAAACTTCTCTTTAGCAGCCACTAGTTAACAATTTTGATTGAAAGGTGGGAAGGGCAGCTGCGGCAGCCACTTGTTGGATCCCATTGCTGGGATGTGGCCAGCTGGGGTGGCTGGGTACATGTTCGGGGACTCCACGCCGTGAGCTCAGCACTGTCGCTGCCAGGCACTCCACACCCGGGGGTGCAGTCGCTGCCAGCAGGACCATGGCTGTGTCTCACTGACAGTACCTCATATGGCTGGCCTTTGCGATCGCTTCTCTGGGGGGCATTTTAAGAAACCCCAAAAAAGCACGACGAAGCACCAGACGACGCTGAATTTTACTGCTGAGGCCCTCCTGCCGCCGAGCAGGGAACAGGGAGAGCTCCCGCCGCCCGTCCGAAGGGGAGCATCCCGGCGGGATGCGCAGGGGCGGGCAAGGGGGGCGGGATCGTGCTGGGGAGGGCGGGGGCTCGGCCCCGGGCCCGCCCCGGGCACAAGAGGGGCGGCACCGTTCGCCGGGGTCCCGCATCCCCGCCGGGCGGTGCGGGGCGTGCGGAGCGGCTTGCTCGGCTCGGCTCGGCTCGGCTCGGCTCGCCTTGACTCGGCTCGGCTTGCCTTGACTCGGCTCGGCTGGACTCGGCGCGGCTGCCGTCGGGCAGAGGGTTCTCTCGGCGCCCCGCAGCCCCGCGGGATGGAGCCCGGCGCGGCGCGGCTGCTGGCGGTGCTGCTGTGCCTGGCTCCAGGTAAGCCCCGGGGAGCCCCGCGGTACCCGGCTCCGGCCTGCCGGGCAGCCCCCGGGGACCGGCAGCTCCGCGGGACCCCGAGGAGAGGGGCGCGGGGACGCCCGGTGCCGCGGAGGGCGCGGTGCGGCTTTCCTATGGCTTTCCTATGGCTTTCCTATGGCTTTCCTATGGGTTTCCTATGGGTTTGCCGGGGCTGCTTGGGCGGCTGGGACAGGGCGAGTCCCCGGGTGGGACCGAACGCCCGTGGCTGCGGGCTTGCTGACCCCTCCTGTCCGGCCGGCCGGTGCTGGCCCGTCGGAGAGCGCTGCCTGCCACGGCAGAGTGTCCTGCCCGCTTGGCTCCAGCATCAGCTGTCGTTTCCGAGAGCAAAATGTCCCTGGAGCCAAAGGCGGGAAACCTGTCATCGGAAGAACCTGCTTGGAATGCAAGTGCTTAGAGCCCGGGGAAACGCTAGCGACACGGGGAATGTCCCGCTTGGGCACGCTTTCTTTGGCCCGGCTGTCACGGCTGGGGCTGCGGCTCGGCCCGGGGAGCCGGGACTCCTGAAGGTGATGGCAGCAGCTAGGGAGGAGTGAAAATCTTTCCCTGTGGTACTCCGAAATGTTGCACAAGCTGGGCTGGTGCCTCAGAGCAAGCACTGGCACCCAGATCACAGCCCTCACCAGCGCCAGTGGCTCCGGCTGCGTGCGATGCGAGCCGCTGTGCCCACGGTCCGGGAGTAAGTTTTGCCTAACCTCTTAGGAGGAAAGAGAAACTTAGAAAATCGTGGCATAAAATAAATTAATGGGATTTCAGATTTGTGACAAACTATAAAAATAGTGTCTTTGCATAATTCATTGATCAGTAGTCTCAAAGAAGTATATTTGATTTATTATAAGAAAAGTTGGTAATCCCCAAGGGAGTGAGATCATCAGATGAAGGTTCACTTCATTTCAATGTCCCACATCCTCTTGTTAGACCTTGAAGTTGGCAGTGCAAGAAAACAGGAACTCCACCCTGGCTGCTGAATTGTAGTGCTCTGCAGCTAGCTCCTGACCATCTGCCTTTGCTTCCTGTTATGACAGAATGTTTGAACTTTTTGGGATGTGTGAAAAATCATGATTTACCCTTCGCTGCTAAATAAGTGATGTGAAAGTGTCCACTTAAATCCTGATGAATATTCCTGTATATAATACTTTTATATATATACTTTATATATTCCTGTATATAATACTTTTCTGATTGAGTAGCATTTACTTGTTTATTTGGTTTATTAGAGAGGTTTCATACATGTTTTTGCAGGTTTATGTATGTCTCTGGATCAGCCAAGCCTTAGCATCCAAAAAGATGTCCTCACAATAATGGCAAACAACACACTAAATATTACTTGCAGGTAAGGACAAGTCTGTTCAGCATGATTTTGATGATTGGTAATTTATGTAGTGAGCTTTTGTACAGAATCACACATGATGTGATCTCTCTCCTGTCAGGCCTCCTGTTTTCTCTCCACTCCCTTTGTGCCTTCTGCCTCACTTTTCCCTAACAAGTTTTAGAAATTATGTGGGAGGGCAGTGGCCAGAGAGAGCTGGGGAGTGTAGGGTGGCTGGGGGAGGAAGCATTGGCTGTGTCCTTGTGGATCCTGCTAGTGAGCCATACTCTCAATGCTCTCTTTTGGGTGATTTGTCACTTAGATTCAGCAGAATGTAAATCTCAAGTAGCTTCAGTGTAGCTCTTGGCAGTAGGTTGTGTGTGTGAATTTGTCCTACATGGTTTGATGCTCTCTCTGTGTGATGGGGTGAAGCCCATCCCTCTCCATAGCCACAGAGGCTGATGGGGCTGATGGGGTTCATATCACAAGTGTCTGCTGCTCTAACATCTGCTTTCCCAGAGGTCAGAGACCGCTGGAGTGGTCGTGGCCAGGCAAGCAGAGCCATGCTGAGAGGCGTATCTCCGTGACAGAATGCAGTGATGGCCCCTACTGCAAGACACTTACTCTGAGCAAAGTCATTGGCAATGACACAGGGGACTACAAGTGCCTTTACAGGGACAGCCAGGCAGCTACAACCATTTATGTTTATGTTCAAGGTAAGTGCTTACACAGCTCTCAGGTGTCTCTTTCCCTAGCGTCAAGAGAAGAAAGGAATATAGTGTCTCAAAACAGTTTTGATGCTAAAATTTATTAATCCTAGAATATTTGATCCTGTGAAACATTTTTCTTGTTTTCATGTTGACTAATTAAATTCAGGTATGCTAGTTGCCACCAACATAAAAGCCTTTGTACCTATAATTCCGAACTGACCTGCCATATGCAATACATGGTCTGCTGTTCTCCACCCAGAATTTAGCATACACATCTCTGTGAGCTCTGAGCCTGTCCTCATGAATGCAGAGCTATTACTGACCTCAGCAGGAGTTTCATATGAGAGAGGATTACAGGGGTTTTATATTTGTTAAAAATTACAGGTCTGATCTCGTGTATGATTTGTACTGATACCATTAAAAAAACCCAAAACCCTCCCAAACCCCAAAACATAAACTTTCATATACATTTGCTGATTCTGGTGGTAAAATCTAGATAGGCTGTAAGAGCTCAGCTTTCAGCTGAGTGTCACAGGCACTGCAAAGCCTCCAGTTATACACTCAGCTTCAATAAGTGCATTCATTGAGGCATCTGCCTTTCTGCACTGATGGCTTCACCCTCGTTTCCATATGCATCCTGTTTCCTCTTTATTGTTAACTTATAGTTACCATTTTGAGAAATGACATGTAATTAAGTACATGACTTAGCTTGTTTTATAATATCATGGAGCTATTTTTTTGGTGTTCTGCTCTGACTTTGAAAAGGATGCTGACATCAGGGGAGTCAGTGTAACATGTCACAATTTTAAACTGATATTTCCTGTAATGCTTATGCAAAGAAAGTCACACTAGGGTAAATCGGATTTTTGTCGACAAAAGGACTGCTGTAGCAGGAAGCCACTCTCCAAAGTGCACTCTGCTGCTAACTGTTTTGAGAATAATGATATTCTGAATCTGGGGGGTGGGGTGTCTATAAAAACATGGACCTCCCCTATTTAGTCTCATTGTTTCAGTGCTTTATGACATGGAAAATAATACAACTGACTTGTGAAAATATAGAAATAAGAAATACTGGAAAGGTTTCCAGTTTCCATAGTCACGTGATGAATAATACCCACTTATCAATTGAATATTATTCTAGATTACAGATCACCATTTGTGACTTCAGTTAGTGATCAGCTTGGCATTGTATACATCACTAAGAACAAAACTGTGGTAGTGCCGTGCCTTGGAACCGTGTCAAATCTCAATGTATCTCTACATGCGGTAAGGAAAAAGCCTGCTATTTTTTCAAGAGTTAGTTGAAGTCACTCTGGCATAAATATGTTTTTTGAAGTAAAAATACATTTCTTAAAAACTCCTTTGTGTGAGTTTTATAGCCTGTGATTGCAAGATGAGTGCTGTACCTGTACTCTCAAAGCATGGACTAATTCCCTGAGCTAGAATGTTGAAATGGGGGCCCTGCCGTTGTGGAAAATGCTGGAAGTGAAAATTCAGGGTTGTTTGATTTTTGAATTCTGACTATGTGTTTTATCAATATTCCAAACAGAAATATCCAGAAAAGATATTTGTTCCTGATGGTAAATCCATTTCATGGAATAATAAAAAAGGCTTCACTATACCCAGTCATTTAATCAACTATGCAGGCATGGTCTTCTGCGAAGCTAAAATAGATGATGAAAGCTACCAGTCTGTGATATACATAGTTGCAGTTGTAGGTAAGCCAAAGGTTTTTATTTCTCTATAACCAATGTTCTTTTGCTTTCTACAGCATACTGAACCAATTACATTTGGTTGGACACTAGGTTATTCAATACTGACAATGCAGCTAATGCAAAATGGATGTTGAGATTTATATCACTTTTCTTTTAAATGCAATGTATTGTGTTCTTTCTGGTTGATCACTGGATAAGTGCTTCTATTTTTAGTGTTTTACATTGATGCCAGGGATTTTAATTCTTTTTTTTTTCTGACAATGCAAACCTTTTTCCTAAAATCACTTATCCACAATCTCAGTCACAGTGGAAGGAAATGAGAGGCAAGCAACCATCAGCAGCAGATGAAAAGAAATTGCTCTGAGTGGGTACCAAGGGAAGGGTGGATCTGAAGATCTCACTGTGAGCTGGGTTGTCTTGTCTCCCTAAAGACCTGTGTCTCAACTCTCACAGGGTTTTGTGCTTTCCTGCTACATTTTGTCAGTTGTTCATCATACCCCAGAAATAATGTGATAATTCTGTGGAGGCTTAAGCTTGAACTGAAACTTAGCAGCTCTTTCTCTTTCAGCTGAGGACATAGTGACAATTTCAAATATCCAAATGGCACCAAGGCAGTGTCTCCTGGCTTGTCAGGAAGGCATAGCCTTCCCTCTTTACTCTGTGCAGAAGGCTTTTACTTCTCCACCCTATTCACAAATCCTCACTCTGATTTGGAGGAATTTCAGAATATCTGTAGAATTTCTGCATTCAGAATATTCTGTTTTGAAATATTTTACTGCACAAAATAAACTTTGGATAATTTTGCTACTGCCCCACCATTATTCTCTATAAAGTTCCTGCTTACTGCTAGGAATGGGTGTACAATCTCCCTTGGCTTAGGTCTCACAAAGATAAGAAGAAGGTGTCTAAGGCAGAGGAACTGTGTGAGTCACTGTCCCTTGCTTGCTCCCACCACTGGAGGGGCTCTGATCAGGAGCACACATCCTGCTGTCTGACATGGGTCTCAGCTCAGGGCAGGCACGTCACTTCTCTCCAGGCTCCTTTGTACACCCATTGTTGTGCTGCACTGGGGCATCAAGGGGCTTTTTTGTAGCTGGGGTTTTGGTGGGAGTTGTGGTGAATTCACCTGGGAAATTTGCTTACCCCCAAGTTTCATGTGTGCCTTTGTCTTTCTCTAGGGTACCGAATTTATGACCTGACAATGAACCCACACAACGAAGTAGAGCTGGCAGTGGGAGAAAAACTTGTTCTCAATTGCACTGTAAGGACAGAGCTGAATGTGGGAATAGATTTTAAATGGGACTACCCTTCCATCAAGGTAAAGTCATACTAACTTACAGGTGCCTTCCTCACAAAGCAATTTGACTTATTTAGGTATAATGTCACTTCCCCCTTTAAAACATTGAGAAAGAAGATGATATACAACAAAATTTCTTTGCACAAAAATGTGCAAAGGGTGACAGAAGGAATAACAATGGCATTTCCAAACATCTCTGTCTTTTGTCTATTGCAGGAAAAACGTGCCACTATTAGGGATGTAAAAACCACTGCAGGAGAAATAAAGAAGTTTGTGAGCACCCTTACCATTGACAGCGTGTCCTTAAGCGACAATGGTCGATACACTTGTGCAGCATCCAGTGGTCGCATGAACATGAAAAACAGCAGTTACTTCCTTATCCATGGTATGACATTTTTCCACTGCAGTTTTGTTGGTTGTTTCAGATTTGGGATTAATTGCTGGGATGCAGAAGGAATCTCGATGATGAATCAAATGACAGAAATGAACCAAACTGCAGCTACAGTATTTCTCTTGCAACTAGTATGGGGTTATTTTTATACCACAGCCTTAGTTAATAATAAGATTTTAAAGGATGCTTTATTTTACTGAAAGCTGTAGAATCCCACTGGAAAGTGGACAGTAAAATAAACTGATGTAAGCCTTTGACCCTTTTCTGCATTGACCTCCTTAAGGTCCTGTAAAACTCAATTTGTGTAGGTGGCTTTGTACAAGGGCTGCCTGTTCTTAGTCTTGGTGAACTTAGGCTGGATCTTGGTGGCTCTGTGACACGAGAGTCTGGGTCAGCATGAATGAAGCTAAGAAAATAAAACTTTCAGCTTTTGCATTATGAATAGATGGATCAAATGGAGTTTTGGTGGTACGGAAATGATGCAAGGGAAACAGCTTTGGCTAAGTGAATAGATAAGTACGAGGCCACATCCTACAGCCTTTTCTCAACCCCCTCTTGGGCACGGCCCCAGCTCCGCTAACTTACTTATAGAAAAAAATTACCAGCATGAGAATGGCTCATTTTTAATCACCAAGTTAGACAAAGAGATTTATATTTTGAAGGAGACTGATTTTCCTGAGGTCTGATTTCAGGGGCCAGAATATTCATGGCACTTTTAAAACAAAACAAAAGACTTTCAAACTTATTGTGGGCATAGTGATTCAAGATATATCGAGTTTTCTCCTAGGTTCTTTCTGTTCTGCTCTTCAGGAGCCAAAATGAGATCATGTGCTAAACTGAGTATACGAGATACTAAGTCTAAACCATCCTAAATCTTAGTCGAGAGGCTAATTTAGTCAAAATGCTAATCACTGTCTTCTGTCCGAATGCAAGTTTATAACTTATAGCAAGTAATGTAAATAATTTTAAGGTACTCTGACTGCAGTGGTTGAAAAACATACTTGAGTATTTAACTTTATCACACTGAAGTTTTGAATAGCCTAATTTCCTGGAAGAAGTATATTGAGAGAGTTTTATGATATGTATATATATATATATATATATATATATGTATATACAAGTCTGACAGTTGGCACACTATCCTGAGAGCTGAGTCTTGTCTCTGCTTTCCAGAGCTCCTCAGTGAGGGAACTGGTCTGTTCCTCTGTGTGAAGGAAAGGACTAGGCTTTCATGGTGGCATCTCTCCAGAGCCCAGTTTGGAGCCAGCTGTGCTTTACCAATGACCCATAGTCCTGTCACTAACTCCTGTTTGTCATCTCGTTAGGTGCTAGCCAAAATGGAAAGTACTTTTGCTTTGGTCCATGAGAAAAGACTGTATAGTTTACTTCCTTTTTTCCACCCCCAGAAAGTCCTTTTATTCACCTGGAGAAAATGGAGAATGTTGTTGAGACAAGGCTAGGCGACACAGTCAAAATTCCTGTCAAGTTTAAAGGATATCCTCCACCAGAGGCTAAATGGTAAGAACTGGGATATAGTGTGTTTGAAAGAATAAGCAATTCGTAGTTAAAGCAAATCATTAAATATTCAAAGTGCTCTGTATTTTCTTCAGGTATAAAAATGGAAAAGCCATCAATGCAAATCACACAGTAAAACTTGGTTACGCATTAGTGATCACTGAAGCAACTGAAAAGGACGCAGGGAATTACACGGTTGTCCTTACAAACCCCATTAACAAGATGCAGAAAAGACACACATTTACCCTGCTGGTAAATGGTAAGTGGAGTAACAGAGGTGCCTTTCTTTCATGTCTGGATTTGGTATATTACCATCCTTAGGCTTAATTCATCCCCTACCTATGAAGATTTAAGTCCTGAAGAAGAACAGTCCTTGAGCCTCAGCCCTGGGAGGGTGGCCCGTCTCTCCTGGCTTTAGGATGTGTCAGTCAAGAGGCTGCAGACTCCGGGTGTTGGTGTTGTGATGATACTTTGTGTGGGGTGGGGTTTTTTGTTTTGTTTTGGGTTTTTTTCTGTATATTATTCTTTGCCTCTGTGTCCTGCTCTTTTCCTGCCCTTCTTGCTGGCTATGCTGCTGGAGTCCTCCTCCACCCCGCTCCATCCTGGCCCTGTCCCGCCTCACCCATCCTTCCTGCCCCACACAGGCTATCCATCCTCTTCTGCCCTGCCCTCTACAACCTTCCTCCTCCTCCTCCCCTGCCTCCTCCTTTCTGCTCCCCAGGAAACAGCCTATGCTTTGAAGACAGCAGGTCTTGGAAAGGGCAGCAAGGCTACGTGCAGTGGGATCAGGTCTGGGGAATAATGTGCATTTAATGGCTGGGAATGGTGGTGAGAGTCCAGGAACTGCATTTTAAACCATGGAGTAATGAAGGGGGATTTTGTAGGAGATCCTAAGTATCCTGATCCTCAAAGCGTTGGGCAGGCTCAGTGCTTCCCCACATGTCCTTGGAGATGCTCTGTTGCACTGGTATTGGGGTATGGTGTGAATTGGTCTCCATGGGTCTAAAGCATGCACCCTGCAGCCTTCAGCAGGAGGTGTGACCTGCTGCTCTCTCCTGCAGTGCCCCCCCAGATCGGTGAGAATGCTCTGATGGCCCCCGTGGACTCCTACAAGTACGGCTCGACACAAGCGCTCACCTGCACCGTGTACGCCGTGCCACCGCCCAGCACCGTGCTGTGGCACTGGCAGCTGGAGGAGGAGTGCACCTTCAACCCCCAGTGAGTGCCAAGCCCTTGTGTCTTCTGCAGCTTATGTAGGTCTTGAGGGATATTTGGGTTGGGTTGGGGTTTGTCCAGTGCCTCCCTCGTCCAGGCTTGTTACAGAGTGCAAACCCAATGGCCAATGAAGAAAGAGGTTGTTGTACTTAATTTGCAGATTGCTGCAGGCAGGCTCTGCCAAGGTCATTGTTGTTGGCAGAGGCGAGGGCCACCCGCAGAGAGGATCCAGCAGTGCTGGCATGTTGCTCTTGTGCTCTCTTGAAGGGCATCTCGACTTGCATGGGGTCTCAAATGCAGCTGTTTGCATGCCTTTCCCTCAGATCCCCCTGGCCCAAAACTCCATCCCAAACAGAGGAAATTTGCTGTTTATGCTAATGATGCGTCCTTGCGGTGTTTTTTTCCCTTGTGCTCAAGTGCTGAGTGTGATGGTGCTCTTTATCTGTGTGAAAGTGTATCTCAGAGGAAGTGCAGTGATTGATGGTGGGGAGTGATAGAGAGAGTGCCTGACTGAGATTCACGCAGCTTCCCTTATCTGGAGCGGCCATAAGCCCAGATTTCCTTTAACAAAAAAAAAGTCCAGAGTTAAAAAAAAAAAAAAGGCATTCTTCTTTCCTGTTGTTGTTTTTAAAATGATTCCACTAGTTTCTTCCTTTGGTGCCTGGTTGCTTCCTACACAATGGCTACTGTCCTCAAGAAATTCTTTTAGGGAGTTCAGCGATTTTTATGTCCCTCTGTCTTCCTTTGAACTAAATCAACTTGAATCATCCACTTATGAATGGAGGTTTGTTCCCAGAATAGCTGCTTTGCTCCAGCCATCCCAACTGAGCTGACACAGGCAGATTAATTAGGAAATTCACCTTTAGGCTTGGGGATCCTTTACTTTAAAGAGCATGAAGGTCTCAGGAGGTTATAGGGTGATATTTAATAGAAATATTTCCAGAAGCATACACTTCCCTCATAGATGCAAGCTGTGGCCAGTGATGCATCTGACTTTTAAATATGTTCATATTATAAGTAGAACCCAAAATACCTCTCTTGAAGGGGGAATATTCCTCTTATCTAATGCATGTGTCTCTACTTACATTTCAGGAAAGTTCGCTCCGGAGCCAATCCATATGCATGCAAGAAATGGAAAGTGATCTCCGAGAGAAAGGGTGGGAATCAGGTTGAAATTAAGCACCGGGTCGTTACTATTGCTGGGAAAACAAAGGTGAGCACATTTTCTTTTCTCTTGGCTGGGGATGATTAACCCTGTTCAGCAGTCCACATGCCTGGAAATACATCACTAGAGATGAGACTCTTACCACCTGTTGTTAAACTTGGGGATCTACTCTCAGCTAGATGAGCAAGCTCCTGCTGAAGCCAAGAGGCAGAGATACACACTTTCAGGTCCTTTGAACACTGATCCAAGGTGAAACTCCACTGAGGAGTACAACTGACTTAGATTTCAAGAACTACCTTTTAGTGGTGTAAAGTTAGATGAGTTAATATTGCAAATTAACTGTAATAGAAGTTGGAGAGACTGAAAAGCAGAAAAAATTGTGGGTGCAGCATTTTTTGATACGTATACCAACGTCCACCTTCTGCTTCTTCCCATTTTCTTTTACCTGATTTTTACACACTTAGGGACAAAAATGTAAACTTCAGAAGGGGACTGTGCTTCTGCCATGCCATGGATTTGTGCTTTGGAGGGATTTTTGGTTGTGCAGATATCTGCAGAGCCCTTTGCTGAGCTGTTGAGGTTGGGCATTACTTTGCACTGATGTGGTATGAAATTGATTGATTGTTCTCTTGTAGACTGTGAGCACCCTCATGATTCAAGCAGCAAATGTATCTGCTTTGTACAGATGTATGGCCACGAACAGGGCTGGGTCAAGTGAGAGAGTGATCTCCTTCCATGTGACCAGTAAGTGCCCCCTGCCAAGGACAGCCATGTTAAATTAATGTTATTTTGTCTGTTTGCTGATGAAAGGCACTTCAGTGATGTTACCTGATTCCTGACCTTTATTAAATCCTTTAATTCTTTCGGATTTTAGGTTTACTTAAGGCTTTCTTTAGGCAGCCTTTAAAATTGCCACTAATTTCAGCCAAGTGATTAGTTCTACCAGCATCAGTGGAGTGGCAGGCCAGTGAAAGTGATGCAAGATGGGCACTGTTGTTCCACAAGTGACTACTGTTGAGCTTTAGCAGTCACTTAAAAGAGCAACAGAGAAATTATGGTAGTGTCACAAAATGAGTAAAGATTTACTGTAAGAGCTAAGGCTAAAATTTTCCAAACCAGTGGCAAAGAGCTTCTGTCTCCTTAACAATCAGTCCCCATATTCATGTGCCAACATTTTATTTTAATCCAAATCTAAAAATGAACTATAAGATAGTGCTGAGAATCATCTTAGGTTGCTGTAAGTTTCTACAGGAAGAGTATCTGTATTTGTTGCACAATTTGTTGCACAATTGTTGCACAATTTGATCCATTTGAAATGTATCACTTTTAACGAGATTGTACTCCTTAGATAATTGATTAGTTGACTGACTGATTGATTTGATTGATCTATTTCAGTGTTTCTTTTCCTTATTTTCAACCAGATAGGAAAATCTGTATTTTCAAAATGACTTTTCCAAGTTAATGTTAGCCCCAAAATGCACAATCAAATAGGAATTTATTTTACTTTTTTAACTTTCAGGGGGTCTTGAAATTAATGTCCAGCCTCAGAATCAGCTGACAGAGAAGGATAACATGTCCTTGCAATGCACAGCAGACAAGTTCACCTTTGAGAAGCTGTCATGGTACAAGCTCAGTGCTCACGTTTCGCAGACTCCCTTCGGAGGGCTGCCCATGCCTGTTTGCAAGAACCTCAATGCTCTCCAGAAGCTGAATGAGACAGTCTCAAATACCAATGGTGAAAACGTCACCTTAGAGCTCATCCTTCGTAACATCTCCCTCCAAGATGGAGGGGATTATGTTTGCATTGCTCAGGACAAGAAGGCTAAAACACAGCACTGCCTGGTGAAGCACCTCACCGTCCAAGGTACAGATCTCTTACTCTGAAGCAAAATGAGTGATTCTGTATGAAAACAATTGCAGTAGTGGCAGTTTTTGCTATGTTCAGGCTTTGTATGTGTTTGATTAATGGTGTACTCAGTTTGTTAAATAGATTTTCAGTTGTTGTAACACACTGTTCTGGGGTTTGTCCAGGCAGCAGGCACTGTTCCATTAATACCAGTGAGGAAACACTGACTGAGCCACTGTACTGTGCAAGGAGATGTGTTTGGCTTCTGCTGAAGTAATGTGTTTAGCTCAGTAACTTCTCTACTTTTCAGAACACATTTTTCTCTGTAGCTGTATACACACGTGTGTACTCCTAGCATTAATGCTGCTGCTTTGTGTGACTGACTCTTGAGTTTGGAGTAGTGCCTGTAATTTAAAACTGCCATGAGTGATACTGGTATTCAGGCACAAGCAATGCAAGCTGATAATCAGTCAGCTTTCCACACAAATAGTGATGACTTTGCTTTGGGACCTAGACATCTAGGTTGATTAGGCAGATTCAGGAAAATACTTATGCATGTTCATGGCCTGTCCTGAATGGACATTTAATGGACCAAGAGTGTCAAACCTCTCATAAGGGCTCTGGACACAGAAATGCAAGAGAAGCAATTTCTCAACTACTCCCTCTTCCCTCAGCAGCCTGAGCAGTTGAAAAATAATTCAGCTAAAGCAGGTTATATCAATACTATTGAAATTTTTTTGGCTATTATAATTTTTTCATGTCATGTGGAAGTTGAACTATGATCTTAACATGAACACTGTGGCTCTTGGTGTAATAAAAGGATTTGAGACTTTGTTACTGGGACATGAACTGCTACTACTGAAAAAATGGATCATTTTCTTAATAAACAGTAATTTTACTGTATTTTCAAACAAACAGAGCCCATGGCACCCACACTGGTTGGAAATCTGGAAAATCAAACAACAAATATTGGTGAAACAATAGAAGTGTCATGTGCAGTGAATGGCATTCCTCCTCCAAGCATCATGTGGTTTAAAAATAACGAGACACTTGTGGAAGATTCAGGTGAGGATTACTCATTTACTATTATCATTAAAAGGCTTTCTTTTGTGGGACTGACAGCTGATTTTCACCATGAAAAGTTTTGTTTTGAATTCTTAACAAAAGTGGCATAAAAATAGCAAAACTAAGAATAATTTTTTTCCCAGGTATTGTTTTGAAAGATGGAAACAAAACACTAACCATCCGTCGGGTGAGGAAAGAAGATGGAGGGCTGTACACCTGCCTTGCATGCAACGTCCTTGGATGCAGCAAAGCAGTGGCTTATTTTTCAGTGGAAGGTTGGTGTTAGCTTCTTTCCAGATTATGCACAAAATCTTTAGAATAACTAGAAGGGAAAATCTACTGGCTATCCTGATGGGAGATCTGAAAATATACTATGAAATTTGTGAAAAGTCCTGACCATTCCTATCAAGCTGAAATTGGGTGCTGTCATAGCTGTTAAGGTTGATGCTTTCTTCACCACTATGCTGCTTAGAGCTTTTCAACAAAAATTGGTTCTCTCTTACTTGTGGTTGCAAAGAAAACTCTGCCAATCTGTATTACATGCAAACCCATACAACAGAGCTACATAAACATGCAGATATCCTGGGGCATCTCTGTCGTCTAGGTAACATAATTGTCGCACTATGTTTTTTAGCATAGTGTCTTGTACCTTTTGAAATTATGTAATTGCTTTCACAGCATCTAAGGAAAACATGGTGAAGACTTTTTGCAGTCTGTTGTGATTGCTGTCCCATTTCAGTGAAACAGGTAGTGATTATGAGTTAGGGGACTCCAGCCTTGGTCTATCTGAAAGCAGCATTTGTGAGACCCATCTCTCACTTGTTCTAGTCCTCTTGTGGCACACCAAAATACAAGTTGCAATGACAAACAGTAAATGGTAGTAAGAGGTTAGTCTGAAGTGTGAGTAGCTGGGACCATGATGGACTATGGACTTTCCACTAAGAGTTGCGGCAAGAAGCCTCAAACTAAAAGCTCCTTGCTCTTGATATTATTTCATTCATTCATTCATTAGTACATTTGCATACTTCAGTCACTGAGCCCTTTGCACCCTTCTGCATGTAAAGGTCAGGGTGGTTGTCTGATCCGTACCATTAAGTTAATTAAAGCAATATCATGTTGTTCTTATAGGTCCCTTTAGGATATTTAGATGTTGGGCAAAATGTTTAAATGTTTAGATGTTTAGATTACGTTGATGAAGATTTCAGTTGATGTGGTAAATATGGCTGGGGCATATCTGTAGAAGTTTGAAATTTGTGTAGGACATGTTGTTTCACTCAAAAAAATTTATAGTGCAGCTCATGGGGGTCATGCAATGGAGTGTGCTGCTGTGTAGGAAAATCTCAGTGGTGCAAGGGATGAAATACAGGAGCATGATGTGGCAAAGAGGGGCCGAAGAGGAGACCCGTGTCTGTGCACTAAAAGGTGCTCAAATGATATCTGCTGGCCACTATTTTAGGGGAAAAGGAACATTGTAAATAAGACCTTATTATCATGTGTTCTTGTAGAACCACACTTCTCATGCCCCAGCTGAATGATGTCAAGAGACAAGAGAGAGATTGTTCTCTAGGTCATTCTCGCAGCTCTTTATTTTCTATATGATGAGGGTGGTTTTTTTGATTTCTAAAGAAAGAGTAATTACTTTTTGGTATTCTAAAACAATTATTTTTTTCCAAAATATGGATTTTACTTTTTTATATTTGCCAAATGCCCAGACACTGTCTTTGGAACAAAGTTGACGCTGAGAAATGTGATGGTGTGTAAAACAGCATGGAACTGTAATATTCCAACATAAACCCCCAGGCTTTTTGTTTTGTTTTGCTTTCGTTTCCTTGCCCCATGTTGCACTTTTAAAACGAACCTTCAGAACAAGGACCTCTATTCTTTACTTTAATGAATGAACAAAACAAATATGCTTCCAACTATCACTCAAATATTCATTTATTTCTTCCCAGGCGCTGAAGAGAAAACAAATCTGGAGCTCATTATCCTCGTTGGCACTGCAGTGATTGCCATGTTCTTCTGGTTGCTTCTTGTAATCATCCTCCGGACCGTTAAGCGGGTAATGAAAAAATTCTCATACCATCCTATCAGCACTGGTCTTGCATGACAAATGAGAGCTGACTTGAGGCCTTTTGTGTTGCTTCTTTCCATTGTTCTTAAATCAACAGACACATTTTTTCTCTCCATGCCATAACATTCTTGCCTGGAACCGGGGGCGCAGAAATTTGTTTTTAATTGAACAGGCCCTTGCAAGAGAAAAATGTTTAATCTGGTTCTGTTGATTAAAAAAAAAAAGAAAAAGAGGGAGACAGGAAAAAAAAGTGCAAGTAATTAACAATGATGACACTCATGATGACATGGAGTAGCGAAATGGTAGCCTGGCGTTTCTGGGAACTGATGAAATACTCTTAAGTGAGAAAATGGCATTTTGCCTGCACATTGCCAGCAAAAAACTGTGCAACTGCAACTAATACCATTTTCCAGGCCAATGGAGGGGACATGAAGACTGGCTACTTGTCAATCATCATGGATCCTGATGAAGTCCCTATAGATGAGCACTGTGAGCGGCTCCCATATGATGCCAGCAAGTGGGAGTTTCCCAGAGACCGACTCAAGCTAGGTGAGTTTTCATGGCATGAGCCATTTAGTGATCCTGCAGCCAGCACTGTGCTGGAGGGTGTTTTGGGTCCTGGCTCCCCACAGGACTGCTCTGCTGCATGATCCCTGGGTGGGCTCTGTGTTCCCATAGGATATGGTGCATCCTATCGACATTTTAAGTGCTCTTGTTAATTTCTGCTTCATTAACTCATTTTGGAGTAGCTTTTTTATTCTACAACTTTCTCCTGCTGTGTCAAGCAGATATGTTTGTGTTCTCACTTCAAGGTAAACCTCTTGGACGTGGAGCTTTTGGCCAGGTCATAGAAGCAGATGCATTTGGGATTGACAAAACTGCTACCTGCAAAACAGTGGCAGTGAAAATGCTTAAAGGTAAAAATAATGACTAGAACTTCAGCTTGAATATACAATATAGGGATATTTGTCAACACTATAACCATTGTACCCATTGTTGTAAAAGTTAAGCTTAATGGCTGTTATCAGGAAAAGTACATGCCTTTCCCTCATTGATAACTGGAGCAATGCATCTGTGCTTTCCTAGCCACTGCTTTATAATTCTACTGAAGTTCAGAATGTGAAGTTGCTCCTGCAATCAATTTTCATGCATCCCTTATGCATCCTTGTTGGAAGCTTTCTGCAAGTCTCAAGACAATGGCTTAGGCATGCTCCAAACTGAGCTGTAGTTTGGAATAGCTTTCTCCTCACTTTAAATCATATTCTACTGCCTCAAACTGGCCACAGGAAAAATGAAATGTGTGGTTCCCAGACACATTGTTCCTAAAGAAGATGTAATGGGGCAGCAAAATAGGGCTGCCAGCAGCTGGGGGCTGTATTCCACCCAGTGCTGTACTGGCATAGCTGACACAGCCTACCAGCCAGCAAGGCTCCTCACTTGATGGGCTGGTTAAATACCAGAAGGGAGTGGGGAGGAGGGCACAACCATTCTGTCTGTGATGCTCCTGACTTGTGTTGCTTTACCTCTGCAGAAGGGGCAACCCATAGTGAGCACAGAGCACTCATGTCAGAGCTGAAGATACTCATTCATATTGGCCATCATCTCAATGTTGTCAATTTACTTGGAGCCTGCACAAAGCCAGGAGGTGAGTGACTTCTTAGTGGGTGAGAAGGAGGTGTGAATGAAAACCCTATTTCTACTATTTCTGCTGCATAGACAATTGAAATTCAAAATTAAGGATTGGAAAGAGTAGTTCTTTCTAACACACACACACACACACACACACACACACACAAAAAAAACCATGCAAGTCTGATAGGAGTGAGCAGGTCCGGAGGTGGAATAAAGGTGAAGTAAGGGTGGAATAAGGACCATGCAGCTCCATCCCTTATTTGTTCTATCATTTTGCTTTTCTGTACTTGAAATCCATGTTTATAGTGGGCAGCCCATGTGTAACAGACTTCCAAACTAATAACTGATTTAACAAGTTACTTTTACTCTTGTCACCAGCTACAGGGGACTGCAAATTGGGACTTCCCCTCTCTGTCTTTGGATGGGCTCTTGGTGCCTATGTGTGTGTGTGTAGGAGGGGAGATTGCAATTTGGAGTCCAGCTCTGGGTGGATGAATCTATTTCACTTTATAATCAGAGACAGATGTTTTGTTTAGCAAATCCAGTACTACAAACTAATTTGGAAGAAATTCAATGTAAAGTAACTCAGTAATAATTTTTCAGGGAAGCTGACTTGTTGGCTTACTGTGGGATGAAAATTTAATTTGTAAAGTTCCATGACAGAAGTCAGTAGTTGAAGGAAACATAATCCATAAATATTTATTTCCTTGTTTATTCCATAATAAAATAGAGATGGCCAGTATGTGGAACCTAGGATGAAAATTTATCACCATAGCAAATGCCTATATGAAATAAATTTGAACATGAAATACGGTATTTAGATTGTACATTAAGGCATCTATGTCTGAAACCAAGTTTCCTGTTTTAAATGTTTAGTACTTTTATCACCTGTAGAAAAATACATGGATAATCACATGTGTATTCTGTTGCAGAGGTTAATTGCACTGAAGCTCTTTCAAATATTTATGCTGTATCCTTACAATGTTAATTAATTTGGCTGTTATTGGCACTTCAAATATAAGCACACCACTATACTTTTTGACATATGAAATTAAGCCCATGATTTTCAAAATTATGTGCAGGTAACGGCAGAAAAATGAATAATTTTGATGCATTGATTAGATTTTTTTTATTATTATTACTGATATTTAAAAAAACCTTTGGCTGTTGGAATGCTCTTTGAACTGTATGCATTTCTAGGCAGAATTTATGCTCTGAGATAAGGTGGGATATAAATGGTCTAATGAATTGCTTTATGTGTTGCACAGGACCACTCATGGTGATTGTGGAATATTGCAAGTTTGGAAATCTGTCTGCTTACCTACGGAGCAAGAGGAGTGAATTTATCCCGTACAAGGTAAGGAGTCAAGGTTGACAGTGAAATGTTTGGTTTGGTAAGGAGTCAAGGTTGACAGTGAAATGTTTGGTTTGGTGGGTTTTTTCCACACACAATGTTTCTTTTTCTAGTGCAGACTGCAGCGGCAGTCCCTGGGGACACTGAATGTCTTAGCACTTCCCATGGGAATGAGAGATGGCAAAGACATCAGAGGTCATTTAGTCTTTCCCCTGGCCCCTGCAATGTAGTTGTTTTGTTATTGTTAGCTTAAAATGTGCAAAGGAACTGGGCTTCCACTATTTCCTTTGGCAGACTGTTCTACACTTGGCTGTATCTTTCAGGAAGTTTTTTCTGATTATCAGCCTGAATTTTTTCCTTTCTTAGTTAAGCTCCAGACCACCTTAAATAACTGCACTCCTTGCTTAGTGTATATATCCATCAGATATCCATAGGTATCTGCTGTGACATGATTATCTGTTCTACTGTCCCCTTGGCTCACATTTCTTCTGCTGTTAATAGTTTTGGATAATTGATGTAGCTCATGAGTTTACATTCAGCTTTTCACCTCCTGAGTCCTTTGCAAAAAGGAGCCCCTTTACAGCACCTTGATTTGAAAGAAGTGGGAAGATAGGAACTGGCATTTTCAAACTCATTTCTGGGCACCTCTGAGAGAAGTCTTATTTATGGAGGGCATCCATCTGGTGGATCCATGCTCTCTGAGGGTCAGATTGCTGTGTGAAGAACTTGGCTGTGTGTACCCAGCACTCAGGGTCACTCTGGGGACCCTACCCTTTTCCACCCCCAGCCAAGAGGGAGGCCCCTGGGTTGTACTCTGCTGTGTTGGTGGACTTGAGCCTTCCTGCAGCTGCTGTGTTTAGATCCGAGCTTCTTCCCACTGCTTGTTGGCTCTCCAGGGGGTTATTTTTCTTTATCCTTGGAGACATTGTTTACTATTTTGTATTGGCAAGGGCAACTCACTGCATCTTCTTGTGAGGTAAAAAGAGAAATAAGTATCTTGAGAGGCCTTGAAGCAAGAGACGGGGTTTCATGAGAGTGCTGACCCTTGCTTACACAAGCAGTGGGAATTGGATTTGGCAGTGTTAAAAACCAGCCCTGCCAGGGTAAACATCACCAAACCAAAGCAGGAGAAAATGGAAATGTTTTGGAGGATACCTGTGGGGCTGGAGTCCTCCCTAGAGGCATGCAGTGGCTTAGGGAAAGAAGGAAATAAGTCAGGTTTTGATGACTATTAGGGTTTTGGCCAAAGCAGAAGTTTAGCAAAGGGCCTTTGCAGCAGCAGGAGGTAAAGCCATAGCAGTACAGAGAGGCTGGAGTGTACAAGAGGGTTTGGCAGCATCCATCCACATGTTTTTTCACAAGTGGGGGGCACCAGGGGCTGAGGACACCAGCTCCTCAGTGTGCATTTAGTCACCTGCATGTGGAGATGCTGCTGGGGTTTGGCTGGGAGGTTGTGAAAGCAGGAGAAAGTTGTGCTGTGGAGTGGCAGAGGGTGTTCCAGTTGGTGAGCCTGCATGGCCATGGGTTGGGTTTTGCTGGTACCATCAGTGCACTAGCCTGGTGCCCCAACCAGAGGTGCCTTGGAGCAGGGCAGCTGATCATGCCTTCACTGGTTGATCTCCCTGCCTTCCCCAGTGACCTTGGCACAGACCATTGGGAGCATCTCTGCCTCTCCAGCAGAACCTTCTAGCATGCTTTCAGCTTCTGACTTTTCTCACCCTCCTCTCATATTTCTAGACCAAGTGTGCCAGATTTAGGCAGGGGAAGGAGAACTACGTTGGTGATGTCTCTTCTGACCTGAAGCAGCGGTTGGACAGCATCACGAGCAGCCAGAGCTCAGCAAGCTCTGGCTTTGTAGAGGAGCGGTCCCTGAGTGACGTGGAAGAGGAGGATGGTAGGACACATCTTCTGGTGTTGGAGCATGTGCCATTGGTGGGGCTGATGAGGGACACTGGGGACTGTGTGATTTCCGAAGCTCCCTCAAAACCATGTGTGGGGTATTCTCTGGATGTCCAAAGTTCCTGAGTGTGGATTATCTAGATCAGCATCCCAAACCCCTCAGTCCAACCCCAGATAATGTCCTGTAGGAAAAGGGTCTGGTTTTAGTGTGAAGTTTTTGGAGATATGTCTATTTAATACCCCAGTATTTTGAGGGGAAATTGCAGAGTACAAACTCCAAAGGCAGTGCAGAGAGAGATGCACCAGAATGCCAACTGAATTTCCTTAATGTCTACCCAAAAGTTAAATACTGTGAAACGCTATTTGATTCACTGCTTATTAGCAGAGAGCTTGCATTGCCTTCCCCCTGCCCAGGTGGTCTGTCAGGAACAGGAAGCCTGAATTATCCAGTCATTCAAAGCCTTTCCAGGATGCACATATCCTCTGCAGTGGTTTCACTGATGCATTTGCCATGTTCTCCTTTGGCAGATGCAGCATAAAATTCTCAGTGCTGTCATTTCAGAGGCTGCTAATTTCACCTAGGGGTGAGATCAGACTAGTTATGAGGAAAGCTCTACTTCCTGTACCTCTACTGCTACTAAAAATCATTTAGTGCAAAGAATACATCAGTTATGTGAACAGGGAGAATGATCTTGCAGTTTCAATCCAATCTAATAGATAATGTCAGGCATGCACTTCATGCATTTCCACACCATCTTGGTCCCTTTCCAGTACACCCTGGTGTAAACGTTGACCCTCTGAGCTGGAGCATTACAAGAAGTATGTAGACCTGAAGGAGCCCTTATGGTGAAGGTTTTAGCCACCAATGTTGTAGTTTTTGGTAGCTGTCTGCTTAAAATCAAAAGCTGAACAAAGTCACAGAGTTGTTTATCTCAGCAGGAACTAAATGCCTTGGTATCTCTGGATATTTGAGTACATTATTCCTCCAGGTCACCAGATGATGAGGTTAGGGTTCTTCTACATTAAATTAGCAGGGCTTCTTGCCAAATCAAAGTCCTTCTCCCAATGGCATATTCTTTTCTCATAAAGACTAGGTGGGGCCTCCCTCTCCTTGGTTTCTAAATTCATCTGCTGAAACCAGAGAAAACTTTACTGTCGTAGGAATTTGTGAGCTGAATTTCAGTTGTTTTTCTTTTGAGTTTGTTTTGCAAATCTTTCCTCTGGAAATAAGCAAGGACGCCTAGGGTATAACCCATTGTCTCAAAGTTTATTTTGCACAAGACTAGTTTGATGGAAAATGGGTTGTTAGTGATAATTATATAGCTAAAAAAAAAGTGCTTGATTTGCTCTTTCAGTCCAGTGTGGCATAAGGTTCGGATGGATTTTTACCTAACAAGCAGTTATTGGTGAAATCAGTGACAAAGGGCATGTTTGACTGTCATCTGATTCTTTGCAGCTGGTCCTGAAGACCTTTGCAAGAACCCTTTGACCATGGAGGACCTCATCTGTTATAGCTTCCAGGTGGCAAGAGGAATGGAGTTCTTGGCTTCACGCAAAGTAAGGAGCTTCTCAGGAAGAGTGGCATGTTATTTATTTGACTGCAGGAAGTAATGCTGTAGGTCTACAGAAGGAAACAGCATGTTCATCTTTGGACTGGCAGTCAGCCGCAACATTTTCTTTTTGCTCTAAGACATTCCCAAATCATTAATGCTACAGAGTGAAACAGCCCATGCATTTATTGACACAAATGTTAGTGATCTGTATAAGGTTTATGGGCCACCAGTTCATAGAGGAATGGTTAAGTAGTTGGAGGAGGGGAACTGACTTAAAGGACAATTGAAGGAATTAGGGAAAAATCCCTGGTAAGAGGAGCTAAAAAAGAGTAAAGGATTTTGCTCTGAGGAGGTTGGTTGTACCTTGTGCACTGGGATTGGAAGGGCAATGTGAGGAGAGACAATACTTAGCTGTGAAACTTGTATGGGTGACTCTTTGGAGAATCTCTTGCCAAGGACACCCTGGCAGTCAACATCACTTCACCTGCATTTTCTCCTTCTAGAAGTATTTTTCTGTGATTTGTGGCTAAATATGTAGAGTACATGTTTCAAAGGATGACAATTCCAGCAAGAGTGAGGAATTGCCTGCAGCTGTATAGAAACAAAAACCACTTAGAAATGGGAATAGAAAATAGAAGGAGGAAATAAAACACTGCTCTAGAGTGCAGTCTCGGACTTCAAGAGCAGACTTCAGAGTCTTTTTCTAAAAACATACTTTTGTCTGCCTCTCATATAAATCCCAATTGACGTGCAAATGTAAAAATACCTGCTTCCAGAATCTGCAGTTTCAATCCATAGTAGAAGCAAATCTGAAGCCACTTTTAGAGCCTGATTATTTTTTTTTATTTCAGGCTATTGAGTCTTGAGTTTTGAAGTGTTTGGGTTGTTAGCTAAGCTGCTGTTCTGCATAGGAGAGATGTGGACTTCTTTCTCTGTAGTAAAGATTAGTTTGTGTTGGAATCAAGTCAGCATTTTAGTGTGGTGTTTTTTCAGAGAAAGAGTGGAGTACACAGATTTGAGTGAACCTAAGTAAATCTAAAGGTAATCAGATCTGAACCTGTTTTGTGTTAGCTTCTTAGGATAATTAATTAGCTAACTTCAAAGGCCCTCTCTGCTCAGTGGATAAACAGACGTATGTTTGGACTTGGGAACACAAGTCTCCCTGAGCCAAATCAGTTGTGACCATCAAAAAAGCACTTAAAATCAGCAACTGTTGATGCTGAGGTTTCTTTTTCTTAAAAGGTTTTAAGAATTATCTGGCCTTTGAGGGTAAGAGAGCACATATGTGAAAGAAATCAGCCCTGTGGACAGAGCTGTGACGACAGGCAGCACATGAAGTTGTTTACTTCTCTTTGCAGTGCATCCACAGGGACCTGGCTGCTCGTAATATCCTCTTGTCAGACAATAACGTGGTCAAAATCTGTGATTTTGGTTTGGCTCGAGACATCTACAAAGACCCAGATTACGTCAGGAAAGGAGATGTAAGTTTCAGATTATCTGTTTGATAGAGAATTAATATGAAATCAGGACTTCTTTTTCCTTTTTTTCCCTTAAAGAGATTTTTGGAAACTCGGTGTTTTGCTAAACTGTGATACCATTTTGTTTATGGAAATGCTTTTAGGCCAGACTACCCCTAAAATGGATGGCACCGGAAACCATTTTTGATAGAGTATATACCATTCAGAGTGATGTATGGTCCTTTGGAGTTCTGCTGTGGGAAATATTTTCATTAGGTGAGTCACTTTAATTTTACTGAGCCGTCTCTGAACAAAAGAGTCTGAAGAAAGCAGTCAAAGTGTTCTTGGAACCTCTGTAGCATGTTCTTTTTACTTCTTGAAAAATTCCTGTATATTTTCTCCATCAAAATAAAATACTCAAATTTTCTTTAAAATGCAAATGTAGGAACATGGGCTTGAAATGCTTCTTCATACAATTTCAGTATGTGATGATGTGCCTCATTTACTCAGTCAGTTGCTGTTTCCATCATAAATATAAATTGTTTACACATCCAAATACACCAAATTGTCTTATTAACACAGACCATAGCAAGTTACTTGCTTGAAAATGAATCCTAGAATTTAAGAGTCTAATGCATTAAAATTACTGTTGCTTTCATTTTAGGCGCATCACCGTACCCCGGAGTGAAAATTGATGAGGAATTTTGCAGAAGACTGAAAGAAGGAACGAGAATGAGAGCACCAGACTATACAACACCAGAAATGTGAGAAACTCTTCTTCCATCTGCCCACATTTACCCCACACTACTAGCAGATGCAGGAGCAAGAAATGGGTGCTGTCTTCTTCACGCTGGTATTTTAATTGGTTTTGTCATTCCAGGTACCAAACAATGTTGGATTGCTGGCATGGAGATCCTAAGCAGAGACCAACTTTTTCAGAGCTGGTGGAGCACCTGGGGAACTTACTGCAAGCCAATGTCCGTCAGGTATGTGACCTGTATTCTCTGGTGGCTAAAACCACTGGCTGAATCTGTCCTGTCCTGCCTGCCATCACAACACATCACAGCTGGGTACTGTCTGCTGGAGCTGTCAGGGAGCCTGGGCTTCTTCTGCTGCCCCCATTACTGACCAGCAGTTGGGTCTCTGACTAGCAGAGAGTGACTGGTGGTGTAGGGATCCCAGAGGTTGTGTTGTGGTAACCAAAAGCCACCCTGCCCTGCCAGCAAAGCTTCCCGTGACACTACTACTGTCTTTGCTGGGCAGTTGTTGGCACAGGCTCGGTTCCCTGCTCTGCTGCTGATTTCTCTGCTAGCTGCAGAGGCATTCCAGCAGGTAGCTCCTGTTGATCTTACTGTGCCAAAGATGGTTATCTTTGCATATATGAGGGTGTGGGCTGCAATGCTTTTAATGGCTATCCTGGAAAACAAGGATATAAGAACTTCATTGCCTGTGAGCAGCTCCATGCAAATTAACATGGTAAGACATGACCTGTGTGCAGGCATTGCAGTACGAGAGCCCACTGCGACCAGCTGGGGACATGGGCCTCGCTCCCAAGCTCTCCATCTTGTGGTTTCCTCTTCCATAGATATGAGCCCACTGAATGAAAGAGGATGGATTTGGCTGTGTGCTCTATATTAGACAGACTCTCCCTTTCTAACCTCTGTGATAATGGGAATTACACTGCCCTTCTAAACTGTCAGGTTAATTTTTTTTGTGGCATTGGGATTCAAACATTAATGAGATCTACTTTTATTTTTTCAAAGACATCAATAAAAAGTCCAGTTTATACATTATGTTACAGTATATAATATAAGAATTTATTTAAAAAATAAGTAAAACTACTTGGAAGATTAATAAGAACCACTTCCTTCTTTTGATGTAGCTGCTCCTGCAATGGTGTTATAATGTTCATAGTTTAATAAGACACCCACCCTGTTGGGCTGATGCATGCTCCATGTACGTGCATGTATCTGTTTATGTCTGTGTGTCTCTGTAGCCTATTTAATTTTTGTGTTTTTTCACTGTGTTCTACAGGATGGTAAAGACTACGTTGTCCTTCCTTTGTCAGTGTCATTGAATATGGAAGAGGATTCGGGTCTCTCTCTCCCAACTTCACCTGCTTCCTGTAGGGAGGAAGAGGAAGTCTGTGATCCTAAATTCCATTATGACAACACAGCAGGAATTAGGTATTTTATATGGTGGACATCCTACTGGGGCCTCTGGGAAGGTTTTGTTCATGCTGGAGGAAGGGAAAATGAAAGGAAGAGACTTCAGCTGCCTGGTCCATATTTAACCTTCTCCATAGGGATAAGAAGGAATTTGTAAAGCTTTTTTAGGCAAAAGCTAGTTTCTTACCTTCCCAGTTAGTGATTTTCTTATTTATTTTTATTGTTGCTATCCTTTCAAGACTTGGTATTCTCATTCAAAAACAAACAAACAAAAAAAGTAAACCCCATGAAAATATCTGTTGTTTGTTTTTCAAGAACCAGAACATATAGAAAGTTTTACTGTTCCAATTCAGTTGTGGTCACAGTGTTCTTGTGTTGCAGCTGCCAAGAACATTAATGATGATAGAGATATCATTAATAACCTCTCTGGCATTTCTCCTCCTAAAGTGAAACATTGGAAAACAGCTCATGAATTGATGGCCAAGGAGAATGTGACATAAATAGTGTTGTCACTGTTTTTGTCCACTGCTTCCTTCTGGTGGGCTCATGGGGCATCCTCAATGGTAAATGCTGTTAGGTATCATGGCAGAGGTGACTTTCCAGTAAGGAGTTTGTACTAAGGCACTTCAGGGGCTTATGTTGGACCCTTTGAGGACCTCTGGCATGGGATGTAAGAGAGAAAGGAATTTTCCCATCCAATGCAGCCACTGAGATGCTGGGAGCCCTGGATTGTTCGATGCAACCTCAGAAGAAGGAGGGTGGAAAGAGCAATGTGAACACCAGGGTGGGGACAGACTCTGTTGACAGGTTTCATGGGGCTTCCATGAAGCAGAGCCCTCTGCCTCACTGCGTGTATCATAACCACCACAGACTTGGGGTAGAACAGGATAACATTTTTATGTTGTCCTAGAAAAGACTACGTAGGCACAATGCATTTCACACTTTGGGTGAACTTACAGTCCTGCAGCTGAACTCCGAACCCCATGTTTTAGTTGTGGGGCAGTTCAAACTATACGTGTTTAAAAGAAAAAAAAAGCATGATTTAGCACTGAAAGCATCACACTTATTTTCCACTTTTAGTACTTCTTATAAGGCTTTTCTTGTCCCCATTTCCTGTTACGAACAGAAGTAAAGCACTCTCTTGACATTTTAAGGAGACTTTGAATCTCTTTTCTCTCATCTTACATTGTGACAGGATTGTGAAAGCTACCATGCTAGAAGAGGCAAAGTGAGGAGGTCAAGTCATGCTTAGGGGCTTTATTCTTATGTTCTGGTAGCTGAAAATTATTTTGTAGGCATGGATCTTGCTATGCTGGTAGTGGAAAAGATTTATCTTTTCAGAGATGTCGTTTTCAATCTTCACAAAAGTGCTAACTATGAAAAAATATAATCTCTAGACCAAAGCTAGCGGAGGATAGCAAGCGCAGGGAAAACATGGAGAATATTAAAGAATCTTTAGATTGTTGATATAAGTTAAAATCAGCAGGACCTCCTAACATCTGCCCTATTTGGCATAGGAAAGAGATACGTGATTTCTGACTCTTGAAAGATTGTCATTAAAACCAGTCAGGTGAGGTATAGAAGAGTTAGTGTAAAGTATAAAGATAATGCCTACTCTTGGAAAGAACAGAAAAAGTGTAATTCTGCAATCAGTTTAATTTGAATTCTAGGAACGATCCTGGAATAAATGTTCAGATAAATAATGGTAAATGCCTACAGGAAAACAAATTAACTACAAATGGCCAGCATGGAATTGTCAAGAAAAAAGTCAAGTCACAGTAATCTTGTCTGGGCTGAGCAGAGGTGGGTCTCCCATACTTGGGAGGTCATTCAGATCAAGGCTGGGCTTCTCAACCCTCACCACCCTGGAAAACTGGCCGTGCAGTTCTATGCATATGTGTGCGTTTAATGCAGGCACACAGGGAGCTTCCAAACACAGAAGGCAAGTTGTGGAATGAGCTTCTAGTTGTACAAGATCAGGGTGTCCAGGAGGCTGCATGGACTAGATTGTCCATTTGAGGGTTTGGTCCTGGAAGTGTTGGATGGGAAACAGATTAGATACCACTGCAAAGGAGCAGAACACATGGCCAGTGGAGAGAGCTTGAAAGAACTGGTTTTGTTAAGTTTAGGAAGAGAAAATGGAGAGGGAATATAGTAACCGTTTTCAGTATATGAAAATTTGCTCCAAAGAGGGTGTTAAATAATTGTTCTGTGTCCCCAGCATTAGGACAAATTTTATTTGAGCAAATACTTTTAATATTTTTAAATTTAATAAATAATAACATTTAATGTTTGAAAAATGTTCTGAATTGTGATTGAGTACTGGAGCAGGCTACTCAAGGAACTTGTAAAATCCCCACCAATTTAAATATATGTCTATTGGAGATAAGCAGGATTCAGCATAGCTAAAATGGGAAAAGGGGGGAATGATGCTTTTAATTGTCTCCAATTTTGCACTTCTAATGGATGCAGGTTACTCTACTAATTCCATGGCTTTTCCTTCATTAGCTGTTAAGAACATAAATTTGCCCCGTTTAACTGGGACACCATCCATTTCATTCCATTTTCACTTAGGCAGAAAGCTGAGGGTGCCGTTTTGTTTGCTGTGTTAGTATCTCCATGAAAGTCAATTTTATTTTTTTTGTCCAATATTTTTTATGGATGTCATCCTGAAGGACTTCTTTTGGAGAAGAGTCTTCAAGAGAGATTTAGCACTCCCTGTCCTGATCCCCACGGCTTAAGGGCAGCAGTGTGCTGACTCTGCTGTTGTTGTCCTAGGTCCAGCCAGGGGTCTCAGAAGTGCAGGCCAAAGAGAGAGACACACGTCTGTGCTCCAGGCTTCTCTGTTTATTATAGTTCTAAGCAAAGCTTGCAGGAAGTTAAGCCCTCCAGTGTAAATGAGGAAAGAAGCTGTTTTCTCAAAGCCATTTCTTAGAATTTGCTCAGAGATCAATATTGTCAGGAGCAAAAGGTCAGAAATATGCCACTTTCTAGGCTGTTCATCCCTTTCAATAAATAGATATTTTGAAGTTTGCATAATATGTTTTGACAAAAGGATTAACTTCTCTGAAGAGAGATAAAAGGATTCTGATATCATTGTGCTGTTTGCAGCCAAGTTGTGGAGAGCAGACACAAGATTTTTTTATTTTGTTTTCTTTGCAGTCAGTACCGACAAGGTAGCAAGAGAAAAAGCCGCCCTGCAAGTGTGAAAACATTTGAAGATGTCCCATTGGTAACCACTGTAAAAGTTGTTCAGGAGGTGAGTTTGTCTATTTATACATACTGTCCTTCTGTTGATGCTTTTTTTTTTTTGTGGCTTTAATATTTTTCCATTCAATGCATTTCCAACACCTTTACAGGAAAACCAGACAGATAGTGGGATGGTTCTTGCATCTGAAGAGCTGAAGGCATTGGAAGAGAGTGAAAACCAAGTGAAAATACCCTTTAGGTAAGGCTTGGGCTGAACATAGAATTCAATATGACCTTTTACTGCAGTATGTCAGAAGACTGATGATTGGTTTCTAAAATTGTCCAGAAGAAAAAAAATCTTTTCTTAAAGTGTTTTCAAAAACAGAAAGCAAAATTATGCCTAATATGCCTGGTCATCTGCATTTGGTATTAGGCGAGGGGAGGTAATGCAGCTTTTGGAAGCCTCAGTCAGGACCCAGAAAGGACTTGTATTTATCAGCTGCAATAGCATCAACCACCCCTCAAAGGTACTGAGCTGGTGCACACAACTGAGCATGTCTGAACTGATGAACAGCTCTTGGTTTTTTGCTTGCTTTATTTTTTTTTTTCCTAATAGCTGGGACTCAATTTTCAAGATGTACCTGGGTGTATTTTCAGAGCGTAGTACAGGGGTTTCATTGTGCAGTTCACAGGAAGCACAGTGGCATTCATGAAGCTGAGACCTCATATATGCTCTCTGAGAGCTTCTCAGGAATTATTTTTTTCCAGAACAACTCAAGTGCAGATGAAGATATACTGCAGTTACAATTGCACCACAGCTGAAGTAAAGCCTCTAAAAGCTTTCTCTCCATTTCATCTGTGGTCGCAGTCTAACTCCTTGTATCATCATAAAATTAAACATCTTTTTCATGCATTAGTGAAGTTAGGGCATATGAAAAGGTCTTTCCTTGTAATCAAATGCATGTTTAAAAAGGCTTGAAGCCAGGTTTAAGTACAGCCTCTTGCTTTGGTTGTTGCTGTGATGGAAAGCAGCTGCCATCCAGAGTCGCCCACCTGCCCTCCAGAATACACAGCCCTCTCAGCCCTGTTTCTGATTGCTTTTTGCAGCACGCTGGTGCCCAGCAAGAGTAACGAGTCCGTCATGTCCGAGGCCTCCAACCAGACCAGTGGGTACCAGTCGGGATACCACTCGGATGACATGGACACCACCGTGTACTCCAGCGAGGAGACCGAGCTCCTGTGTGCGCAGGAGGCGTCGCCCGCGCTCTGCCGCGCCCACGGGCTCCCCTACGAGAGCCCCGCGCCGCTCTAGGCTGAAGCTGGCAGCTCCAGCTCCCCCTGGGATGTGCCTTCATTGCCTGGGCTGGTGGTATTCGGGTTTGATGTATTGAAAGATGGCATCCATGGGACTTAGAAAAGACACTTATTTTTCCTGAAGATGATGCAGAAGCATCCGGCAGCAAAACTGTGCTGTGCCAGGCTGGGGCTCTTTCCTCAAGAGACACTGGTGGCTGAGGGTGCCAGCAGAGCCCTGGCCGTGGTGTGTGGGCTGTGCCAGCCCCATGGCACAGGCTGAGCCTGGTGATGTCGAGCATCTGCCTGATGCGGGTGGCATCACGGCATTCGACTTAACTGTTCCTACTTGTACGAAATAATGGCACCTCCCTGCTTTTGTGGGGCTTTTTTTTTGTTTGTTTTTCCCCTTGTGGCTGGACTCCAGGAAGGAAACAGCACGGCACTGGCTTCTTGTTTCTCAGAGTTATTCCTTGCTTGTACCTTCACAAACAAAAAAAGGAACCTCCAGCTCAAGGCTCTGGCACTCTGAGGGCCTGAGACTAAACATAGGCTGGGCTAAATATAGGTGTGGGTGATGGTCTCTGTCCTTGGCAGAGGAAAAAGGCTGCTGTACAAGTCCTCATGAGTTGCATTTTCTCAGTGAAGTTTATTAGCAGGGAGAAGACAGAGCACTGAGCCAAGGGATGGGACTCAAATAGCAGGGCCATGCCTGACCTCTGAGGATGGCTCTGCTCCCCTTTCATCCCCAGCACCCTCACTCATGCCTACCTGCCTCTGAGCTGCCCAAAACTGCTGCAGAAAATACTCTCCTCCCCTCAGATCACCACTTGGGCAGTCTCTCTAACAGGTAGAAAAGGCAATGTCATTTACTCCAGGACCACAGGAAGCACTGTGGTTCTGGTGGGGCATCCTGAGGGCACCCTACCTTCTCATCTCATTCCCCCTTCCTCAGATTTAGATCTGACTTTTTCACTTTGAAAACTCAAAGTCTGTTTGCAGTGGCAGAGATCTCAGTTTATGTAGCCTTGGGAATCCGTGACTGGTTTCATGGCAGCTCTGATCTTCTCCGAGTGGTGAAATTGTGCCTAATTGTTGGACAACTTCTTACCTGTGCTCTTGTAGTCCCAGAACTCTATTGATAGACACAATGAGGACTACAAGATTTTAAAATGTAAAGCTATTTCTACTGAGTTCTTTTTGTATTTTTATAAGTATTTTTTTGTTTGTACTTACTATAATGTCAAATGCTGGGAACCATGAATATAAGGCATATACAGTATTTATAGCCTCTTTATGTAGAAATAAATGTAATATATTAAAATATAAATATATATTATATAACAGATATTTTACTATTCACATTTTGTATCTGTCTTCTGTAGCATTGAAAAGGTCACAAATTTTTTTAATAGCTAAAACTTTTCACTTTATTAAAAGGGACTGGAAATTTAGACCTGGGGGCTACAAGTAGGTTTGTTTTCTTTTGTTATATCTGTTGATGGGGAAGATTCTAAAGTACTACTTGTTTCAAGTCTACAAACATGTAGTAGGCGCGTGTAGTAAAGGAACTTCAGTGATTTTTAGCAGTTGGCAATAAATACCTTTAGAGAAATGGTCAGAGGAAGAGACTGCTTGTATGAGCTGAATCTCCCCTGAGAAAGTTTATTATGTTCCTTTGGGGATGGTTGATCTAATTGTATTGTGGCTTTTGCCTGGGGAGTGGCATTTTCCCTTAAAGCCTTATTCATCTTTTCCCACTTTTGTTTCTCCTAGCTCACTTCTCACAGACTAAATGTTGTCCCTGCTCTTGTGCAGTGAAGTCTTCCTTTATTTTAAACCTGTACTTAAAGCTCCTACCTTTTCACTCTGTTGTCCAATTTTTGACTTACTCTTCTGCATTGTGTCGGCCTTTGTTCTGAGGGCAAGGCTGTCCACTGCTAGGGACATAACAGCTTATGCTACAAAACAGTGCAAGGGAAGTTAAGCCACAAACTGCAGACTTTAATTCAGCTTCTCTTTATTGCAATTTGAAATGAGACAGGCTACTGCATAGTGAGAACATTTGTCTAGGAAGTGAGAGATCTTGCTGCTAAATTCTTCTCAGGCTGAACATGGGGCTAATGCTCTCTACACATTATGTGCATTACCCAAATACAAGGCTATGAGATGTTAAGCTGTAAATGTTTCTCCATTCCTCCCCCTAAATGTAAAGCATTTTATAGCCAGGAAATCAGGAGCAGGGAGGTCAGACAGAAAAAAAGGAAGAGGCTTCCTAGATCATGTGTAAGGGCTTCTAGGAAGGATTTCACAAATATATTTGACATTTGCCTCGCTTCCCAGGCAAGAGTCTAGCCAGCAGAGTATGCTCAACAGACAATGCTACATCCTTTAACATCCCCCCTCTGCAATATTTTTCAATGTTTTTAATGAAAGTGCTCTTCTATGTATTATTACACAATGGACATAAAGTACTGACACTGGCAGGACTTTGACGAGCCATATGTTGGAGAGTCCTGACACTGAGGTGGAGAGGAAGATGTGTCATTGGTATCCATCTGCCCTAGACCTGCATTCCTCAAGGTTTGAGATGTTCAATTTAGACATCTCATTTCATAGTTTTTTCCCTCTCCAGCTTGGTGTAACACACGATATGTGCCACATACACACAGTCAGATATCTGTGTGCTATTGGTACCTTTGGAACCGCCTCCCACCACAATGCAGACTAATGAAGTTTCAAGACATAGCCATGTCATTTACTAAGTTCACACTTACAATCCTTGTCAGCCAATTAAATTCTCTTCTGGGTCCAAATAGTTTTAAATATGCCTACAAAATGTGGCAACTAGCACACACCTGCTTTGGGAAAGGAAATTAGTTTCTAAAAAAAAAATTCAATCCCAACCATATAATCACTGTCAGAAGCAAGCAAAGGTTCTATAAATGTGTTCATATCTTTGGCATCCAGTAACACAATTCTTTTCTTGAACCATGGCCATTACATCCTTTAAAACACCTGGACTTTTTGTTGTATTCTGAATACAGCACATTCAGCTAAACCCGAGTCATGCCACATCTGTCTTTGAGATGCTTTAAATTCCAAACGGGATATTTTCAATTAAACAACAGACATATAATGCACAGATTTGCAAATGCCTTGCAAACCAGTCCCAGCTTTATCTCTATCCTGCAGCCATGCAGCAAAGTGTCAATATTTGGATCAGCATCCTTATCCATGAAATTCAGCCTGGATCTGAGCCCAGTGAGCTAGAATAAATAGAAGGGACACTTAGGAAATTATGTATCCAAACATATCACTGTGAGCAGCTGGGCTGGAGTGAGGAGAAACAGTGATGGGATTGACTTGTCTTGTTCAGAGGAACTGCCAGAGTGAGCAGTAATTGCTGGTGGGTTAGGATGTGGGCAATCAAGCACAGCCATGCCAGAAATAGGCAGCTTCATGGCTTGGAGATGGCTCATGTCAGCCCTTATCAATGTAAACACAGCCCACCTGAAGAATGCAGGGGTGTTCAAGAATAGTAGGTAGGCCCTTCTCCCTGCAAGAGATACTGTAACATGTATCTCATCATTTGCATGGAAATGTCTTGGCAAATCCAGTCCTTGCCTAAGCTTTTCTTATTAATGCCTCTCCAATTGCAAGCAAGTGCATTTCACATGAGAAAAAAAGTGTTAGGATGATACTGCATGTCTTCTGATGTGGTCATCCCAAAATACCATGCCTGGATACTTTTGGGACAGAATGCTTATTAATTCTTAAGTGCTTATTAATTCAGAGTGCTTATTGAAAGCAGCATGTGACTAAAATCACTACAATCAGAGCTGCTGACACTGGGGACAAAAATTTCCTCTCCATGGCATCTCTTTTTATGGTTCCAAGACTGGAAAACATAACTGGGTAGTATGGATAGCCTCCAGATACAAAGCTGGAATTTGCTATTTTTATGCAAAACATTCCCAAACCATGAATCATCTGAGGTTTCCCCTCATCACTGGTACTTGAGTACACACCCTGTGTTACCTCGCAGTGTGGGACCTCACAGAGCAACAGCAAGGGCAAGGAAAACAAAGTTAACGTTTGTTCTTTCTAATTGACAAATTTATTAGGGACAGAAGTTAACCAACAAAGACCTTTTCTTTGGACTTCTGCCCTGTATTTTTATTCTGCCTGGCTGAGTGTTGCATTCTGTGTTGTAATATATGTCCTCAGCTCCTCAACCCCTGACATTCAGGCTGATTAAGTCCCAGAAGGTCATTGGGAAACATAGCAGGGGCTTGTAACATATGGTGCTGATAAACATCTCAGCATCAGAGATAAGGAGCTGCTCAGTGTAATCTTAGGAAGCTCAGGTTTTGTTGCCATAAAACTGTACAATGTAAAGCCTAATCCCTACACAGGTTTAATTAGCTGTTAAACATATCAGATCCATGATGAAGGGTGTTCTGGTTACGTAGACATTGTTCACTGGCTGTCACCAGTTGGTTCAAATGTGAGGTATCTCTGCCCTGCAGCTTGTTGGGATGACATGTTATGGTGAATGATTACTGCTCTGTAAGTTTTGGGGAGGAGTAGGGGGGAAATGAATTCAATTTCCAGACCCAGCTTTAATGTTAGACGCAGCCTCTGCTGCCACATTAAATGGCAGTGCCATGTGGTTTCCTAAGTCCTGGTCAAAAAAAAAAAAGACTTTCTCAAAGGGTGGAACATATGAAATGAAGTTCAGTTATCTTTTCCAAGGAAAGCTGAATCTGTTCACCATCCTGCAAAGCTGTTTCTCTGGGCTCCATGCTGCTGTCTCTTTCAGTATAGTCATGCTAAATGGTGTGGTTAGCAATGGTTTCACAAAGAGAGTTTATTTTTATTTCTCTTGGTCTGTTTTCACACTACAGTCAGAAGCATGATCGCCACTCATTGTAGATAAACATAAGGTAGTTTTCGTTCTGCCCAGCTAAGCAGCAGTACCAGTGAAGGTTTGGCAGCCTGGACCTCTGCTTGGCC